TGTGTTTAAGGAGGCTGAAAAGAACATAATCAGTTTTAGAAATACTTCCATAGATACACTGCTGTGTACTGACCGTTCCAAGTAATGAACAGACATTAACTTATTTAATCCTTCCATTAATCTTTTAAGGTGGGTACCGTTATTATCCCTATTTTACAAATGAGGAAACAGAGGCATAGAGAGGTAAAGTAACATGCCCAAGATCATACAGGGAGTGGGTAAGCCAGGATTTGAACCTGGGCAGACCGATTTCAGAATTGAGATTCATAATAACCTCCATACAACTGCCAGCTTTGTCCTAAATGGAATGACTTTCAGTTCCTTTGCACCCTGCAGTGAGTCTGTCTGTGGTGGATGAATGGGCACAGAGAGGGAACTCTGAGCTGCACATCCCAGCAGGATCGCAGTATGTCAGTGCTCACAAGGGACTGTGGGGAATCTGGAGCTTCCTGGACAGTGACCACAGTGCTCCTTCCTTCCTCTCTCCCCTCCCCTTGGCACTTCCCCTCTTAGGCGCACCTTGGCTGACATCATCATGGAGAAGCTGACTGAGAAGCAGACAGAGGTTGAGACAGTCATGTCAGAGGTGTCGGGCTTCCCTATGCCCCAGCTGGACCCCCGGGTCCTAGAAGTCTACAGGGGGGTCCGGGAGGTAAGAGCTGAGAGGGGAGCCACAGTGGAAGACCCCTTTGGGGGCTGTGGGCTCCCGCCACAGGCTTTTGCCTTTTGCCTGCATCTCATACTAAAGAAGTCATGGCAGTAGAAAACAGACCTAAGAGGCAGAGTGTGTGGTTTCAGATTCCTGCTCTGCCTATAAATGACTTGGCAACCTTGGGTCAGTTACTGGAACTCTCACTGGTCATCTGTAAAACGAGCATAATAATGGCACCTCCTTAAAGGGTTATTGTGGGGATGAAATGAGTTAATATATTAAAAGCACCCAGACAAGTTCCTAGCCCACAGCAAGCTTGCCATATGTGGATGACAATGATTGTTTTACCTCCCTCATCCCTAGGTATTATCTAAGTACCGCAGTGGAAAACTGCCTAAGGCATTTAAGATCATCCCTGCACTCTCCAACTGGGAACAAATCCTCTACGTCACAGAGCCTGAGGCCTGGACTGCAGCCGCCATGTACCAAGCCACCAGGTAGAGTAGATGGGGATTTGCAGGCCTTGGGTCTATAGGTGCAGGCTGGGCTTGGGACGGACAGGCTTTCCTTGCCTCTGGCCCTAGGGCCCTCTCTGCTACTTTATAGCATCATTTTTCTAGCTTTTCCTGTGTCATTTTTTGGGGCCAAGACCCAGTTAGCCAGTTAGGAACCCTCTGTGATGAATTTCTAGGGGAAGAGGCTTTTATAGCCACTGGGATACAGCCCTCCATGATCAATTTCTAGGGGAGAGGCTTTTATAGCCACTGGATACAACCCTGTAGCAGGACCCTCAGAAGTCTGTGACTGTCCAGACATGCTCAGGGCCCTAGTGATAGCAAAATTGAGAGAAGCCATGATAGCAAGAGGAAGGAGAGTAGCTGAGTAGCCATCAGTTTGCACAAGCTCTGGCTCTCCCACAGACAGACGGCACTCCTCATTTGGATATATCTCATTGCCCCTCCTATTCTCTCTCTAAGCTGATGGGTGTTGCATGCACACAGCTCCCACACATCCCTCACTGAAAGAAAGGTCCCATATTTTACTTTAAAACCTCTTGTATGCACTATCCATGGTGATATTTAATGGGCCGGGTCCAGACTGTCGTGTGACTTGGAAACTTCCCCGACTTAACTCCCACTAGGATTTTTGCCTCTAACCTGAAGGAACGCATGGCCCAGCGCTTCTACAACCTTGTCCTGCTCCCACGAGTACGAGATGACATTGCTGAATACAAACGACTCAACTTCCATCTCTACATGGCTCTCAAAAAGGCCCTTTTCAAACCTGGAGCCTGGTTCAAAGGTGGGATCCCAGAGGCAGGGAAGAAAGTGAAGGGCTGGAGCTTCTCTGGGGAACACAGCAGGCCTGGTGTGGGAAATTGCTAGCTGTCCCTGGGCTGGGTGGGAATGCTTCCTGCTGTAACTCCTTTTTCTCATCCTGGGCTCATAGTGACTGCCCTTTGACTCTCCCCAGGGGTCCTGATTCCACTGTGCGAGTCTGGCACTTGCACCCTCCGGGAAGCCATCATTGTGGGTAGCATCATCACCAAGTGCTCCATCCCTGTGTTGCACTCCAGGTAGCGTTGCTGGGGGTGGAGCGGCGGGGTGGGGGCTGGTCAGTGGATATCCAGATAGTGGAATTGCCAGGACTTGGGGATGGGTAGAGTGGAGAAGAAGCTAAGGATAGTCTTGGGTTTGTGCTTATTTAAGCCAATGAGTAGGTGTATCATTATCCCCCTAAATGTAAGTTCTGCAACAACAGGGCCCGAGTGCCTGGTATAAAGAAAGTACTCAGTAAATAGATGAACAAATGAGTAGGAAACACAGGAAGAAAGTAGTTAGGGTGGAGACGTTGAGATGTTTGGACCATACTCTAGTTGGGTACTGAAACAAGCAGTCTATGCTGGAGGTAGAGATTTGGGTGGATCCCTGTAGAGATGGTGACTCAAGTGAAGCGAGTATAATACGATTGGGTAGGTGAGAAGGTCCCTGGGGAATACCATAGTGTAAGGGCCAGCAGAGGGGAAGAAAAAAGGGGGAAAGCACAGAGGGAGAAGTAGGATCCTTCTTCCAATGTTTTCCCCGCTAACTCTACCCCACCTCCCGTTCCCACTAGTGCGGCCATGCTGAAAATTGCTGAGATGGAATACAGTGGTGCCAACAGCATCTTCCTGCGACTGCTGCTGGATAAGAAGTATGCACTGCCTTACCGGGTGCTGGATGCCCTAGTCTTCCACTTCCTGGGGTTCCGGACAGAGAAGCGTGAACTGCCTGTGCTCTGGCACCAGTGCCTCCTGACTTTGGTCCAGCGCTACAAGGCTGACTTGGCCACAGACCAGAAAGAGGCCCTCTTAGAACTGCTCCGGCTGCAGCCCCATCCACAGCTATCCCCCGAAATCAGGCGTGAGCTTCAGAGCGCAGTCCCCCGAGATGTGGAAGATGTTCCCATCACCATGGAGTGAGAAAACAGTCAGTTGTCCTGGCCAAAGGGGTTTGGAAGGACACCAAGACCCCCGTTGGTGACTGAAGATGACACCAAACCTTAATGGCTAAAGACCCAGATCAGGGCAGTGACAGATCACAGGAACATCTGTGGCTTCCAGTCCAGGACAGGAAGGACTGAGGGTCTGGCTGGTTGCCTCTTCCATTCTAGGCCCTTACCCCTGTTCAGTTCTGAGAGCCGACTTATACCATACACTGGCATTCCCAGTCCCCAGCTGGGGCTTGGTGTGAGTACTTTTTCTATGGCTATTGTGTCAGGTCACTGTGGATAAAGGCAAAGGCAGGTATTTATTGAACCTCTGTGTTTGGTGTAGTAAATGGAGGTGGGCATTACTCCTGTTAGTATCTGGAAGATGGAGGACATTCTTGTCCCGTTTATATAGGAGCCACCTCCCTTGATCTCCAAGCTTGTTTCTCCAGGCTACACTCACCTTGTTAGCCACCTGGGGACACATCCTCTGCCTTCTCCCATGACAGGCTGCAGCAGCCAGGAGCAGGTTGTCCAAAGATGGTCATGTGTCAGCTGTGGATGAAAGGACTACAAGAGAAAACTTGAGGAAAGCAGAGATACAGTCAAGAAAGGCCAGAGAATAAGGCTGGGCCCAAGAAGAGTTAGATCAGAGCTAGCATCAAACAGGCTCCCTTTCTGGCTTTTCAGCCAATGAAAGCTTTAGTGACTAGTAAACTACGGCCAAGTGCCCCTTTTTTTGTTGATTTATTTTTTGAGACAGAGTCTCGCTCTGTTGCCCAGGCTGGAGTACAGTGGCATGATCTTGGCTCACTGCAGCCTCCGCCTCCTGGGTTCGATAGATTCTCTTGCCTCAGCCTCCTGAGTAGCTGAGACTACGGGTGCGTGCCACCACGCCTGGCTAATTTTTAAATTTTTAGTAGAGATGGGGTTTCACCAGGTTGGCCAGGCTGGTCTCGAACTCCTGACCTCAGGTGATCCACCCGCCTCAGCCTCCCAAAGTGCTGGGATGACAGGCGTGAGCCACCGCACCCAGCCCAAGTGCCTGTTTTTGTGTGGCCCATGAGCTAAGAATGATTTTTCCATTTTTAAATGGGGAAAAAAATTAACAGTATTTTGTGATAGGTAGGAATTACATGAAATTCCAGTTTCAGCATCCATAATTTTGTTGGAACAGCCACGCTCACCCATTTACATGTTTCATGTGGCTGCTTTTGTGCTACAACAGCAGAGTTAAGTATAATCCTGCTATAACCCTTATTTGCTTCCAAAATTGTGCATTTGTTCCAACCCATTTAATATATTTGGGAACAGTTTGATCATAACGCAGGCTTAATGTTGCTTGCGTATGATTTCATCGAGAAACATTAGATGAATATGGGAAACTGTACCCAGCTGAACCAAGCCTAACTAGTACACAAAACTCACACTTGAACATGTACCAGCTACCTCACTCAGCTGCCCACCTGTGTTGAGCAGCCCTTCCAACATCCACTTCCAAAAGCAAAGTGCATGTCTTCAAGATAAAAGGCCGTATTTATTGTAATATTTATGTATTTCTCAACCATTTGACATATGTAAAAACCAAGCTATCCTTTTTTTAACATGTGTCACTCATTTGAGTGTTGTGCTTCAAGCCCCATTTTTCCCATGAGACCTGTGGTTTTTATTGTGCAAATTGCATGGCATAGTGATTTTCAGGAACACATAGGTCACATTATAAAGCAGAACTGATTATATTTGGGTCAGAGACCATATAGCCCGCAAAGCCTAACTATCCAGCCCTTTACAGAAAAGGCTCAATGATCCCTGCTTTAGACCACTGGCTTCCGCCTCCTTACCTCATACAGTCCAGAAATAGACTTAACCCACACACCAATCCAAGAAGCCAAAGCCAGTTTTATTTCACAATCTTTATTACAGTAGGATGATGGTCCTGGGCCACCAGCCTAAACCTTGTGGCCTTAGGAAAGACCTGTGTCAACAGGGCTTCCTCCCTCTCTAGACAGGGGCTCAGCCACCTCCAGGGCATCCCTGTTGCATTTTCTCTGCTGGAGGATGGGGCAGAGGGACAACAGGAGAGGAGGGCATGACCCCACCCCAGGCTGTAGCAGCTCCTCGGCCACAATGATCCTTTTGCCAGTAGCAGAAGGGAGAAAAACAGCAACCACCAGGGTTACCACCACTTGTGGGATGGCCAGGACCCCGTTATGTCCTTACAGTTGTGCTCAAAGCAATTAATAAATTAAAATGAGCCTTCAGCAGCAAAGCTGTCAATCACACAAGCTGAGCAGAAAACAAAGCAAAGAGGAATTTATAGCTTCTCTGGCTGAGGCCTAGGCCCCTCCCTCTAGGAGCAGCTGTCAGCACGGATTATATAGGGGCCTCCAAAGTACTGAGGAGTCATCTAGACTATTCCCCCTCATACGTGTCTATCATGCATGAAATTTCAGAGGGACCCCAATCCAAATGCAATAACCCTAGAAGGGGCAACACCTTTAGAAGGCACTAGAGCATTTTGGCAGTTGAAAACAGCCCCCAGGGGTGGGGGGCGCTCAAAAGGAATGCTGGCGTTATGTATCCAATTCTGTCCCATCAGCCTGGCCCACCCCCAGCTAGAGTTGGGAAAGGCGTTGCTGGTCAGATGCAGGGAGGAGGAGCTTGACTACCCACCGAAATGCAGACGTGGCTGGCCAGGCCCCTTAGTGCACACTGCGGGGATGGGTAGGACCAGACCCCTTGGGCTTTGTGAAGGGGGAACAGATGCCCCTTCAGGCTTCAGATGTGGTGTGGTTTGTTCCTGGAGGCAGGGAGGTGGGTGGCAGCGGCCCCTCCTCTGCTTAGTGGCCACTCCAGAGGGCCTCTCCAGGGCTACAGGTGTATGGCTGTGACATCTGTAGGAGTGCTGGTCTGGCTGGGCCCTTGGCTGCTGGAGCCCCGGGGGGCTTTGGGCGCTGGGCTGGAGCTGGTCTGGGCGGCTTCCCTGAGGCTCTCCCTGAGTGCAGCTTCGATCTGCTCCTGACAGGCCCGCAGGCAGTCCTGGGAACATGGGAGAACAGTGAGGAGTGAACACTCCCCCCCATAGCATCTGGCAGCAGGTGCAGGGGAAGGACAGCTCCCAACACATGGGGAAGTCTGGGGAGGTTAGGCCACAGCCCAGCCCCAGGAATCGCTCTTCAGTTCTCAGAAACTAGCAAGAGGATGTGGCAAGGGAGTGTGAGAGCAGCCCTGCATCTGACACCGAATCCCCCACCCCCACTCCAGCACACCACTTGGCAAGAAAAGAGCCCCTAGGGCCAGTGCCCTTCACCCCACCCAAGATACTTGCTCTTCTCCAGACCAAGGCAGGAGATAAAAAGCCACAAAGCCCCAAGGTTGTGAAACCAGGACTCAGGACCAGGTTGGGGTTGGAGGTTTCCCTCTACTGGAGGCTCAGGGCATAGCACTATATGAATGGAGAGGCTGCTGCCCAGCTGCCCAGCACTCACCACTTCAGTGCCAGTGATCCCTGCCAGCAGCTCTGTGAGCTCATCCCCGGACATGGAACAGGCACCCAGGCCTTGCACTGCAGCCCCAATGCTGCCCGTGGCGATCATGGATGGCGGGTACATGGCAAAGGTATAATCTTGGAGAGGAGGAAAGGGAACCATGAGATGAGGAAACCTGAAGGATAACAGCCAGCATGGACTTCCGACTCCTCGGAAAGTGCCAGGCAGCATAAGTAGAGCAGAGGACATGCTAGAAAACTCCAGCAGTGGGTGGGGCAAGATATCGGCAAGGGAGGAAGACAGGAAAGAGTATCTTTCCTAGAGATCAGGACCAACTGCCAGTTTCCATAGGTCCAGGGAATAGACAAGACACTCCCTAGTGTGGGAACACAACTAGGGCCAAGAGACAGGGGTTCTGTTCCCAACATGTTCACTGTGGGACCTTGGGCGAGTCACTTCTCTCTATACCCTCGGTGTCCCTCCTACAAACTGGAGGGGTCTGAGATCCCATAGAGCTGATTATGACCTGCTTTTCTGTATCGAGACTGGGGACTCAGAGGGGATGTAATTTTCACAAATTAATTTTGACAGTATAAACCAGAATCTCCTAGTTACCTCTCACCCTTATAAGTCTAATGATTTTTCCAATTTGGCAAAAATGTGCACAGGGCTCTTACCTGTAGCACAGAGGGCCAAAAAAGTCTGGGCGTGCTTTTTGACCAAGGCCTGTCGGTCACGGGGCAGAGAAAGCCGGTGCAGAATGAGGGCCAGGAAATCATGTGCAATCACAGCAGCCAGGTCCCACTTGAGCTTCCCTAGGACCAGCACCTCCCAGTCCTGGAAAAGGGGGAAAAGGGTGGGGTCAGTGGCTGGAGAAGGGAAAAGGAAGGAGTAAAGCAGAAGTCTCAAAGTCTCATAGGCAGGGAAGCCCATCAAACTTTTAAAGCCCAAGACCTCAGTTTCTGATTTTAGGGCCAGGCACCATGGAGTTCAAGGCAGGGAAGAGGAGGGGGCATGTGCTTTGAGCACTTACTGATCATTTACTAGGTGCCAAGACAACATACTTTACATGGATTATCCCTTTTAATCCTGTCTGGTTATGTTTAAGGGGCCAGTAATTCAGGCCTTCTCCTGACTTCATTCAGGGCTCTGAGGATTTCTCCAGCCAGGGCTGAAAGACGGAAGCAGCAGATACCACAGCATCACTATGAACTGGGGACTCCTCTGGGATGAAGCAGAAAGACTCTCCCAACCCCAAGGATTTGTGAAAGGGCAGATCACCACTAGCTTCCCCTGCAACTCTGCATCCCAGCCAAGTCCACACCTCTTGAATCAACAGGAGGGAGTATGACTCCTCCAATGACAGCCACTGAGCCTTTTCTGAGGTTCCTCAAAGGGGAGATTGCCCAACCCAAGCCACATCCCCTTGGTAGGATATCAGGGACAGGTCCTGAGGTATAGCACCCCACCCCACCCCCTTTAGCTGGAACCCATAGTGCCCCATGCCACTTGACTTTCAGGAGGATAGGCGGAGGCCAAGCCAGACAGGATGGCCCCAAATGATTCCTGAGGGATCAAGTCCTATCCTCACCTACCCAAGCCTACCTGCCAGTACTAGGTTTTGGGAGAAGCCTGGAAGCCTCACCCCAATCCACTCATCATGGGTTCCCAGACCTGGCCCCATTTCTGAGTTGCACACATGAGGATTTCTTCATTGTTTTATCTCAGGAAGGAACTTGTGGGTTTGACTCCTTATTGAGGCAGAAATGGCAACCCCACCCAACCTCTTCCAGGCCCCAGCCACAGCTGTCTCTGTCTTGGCCCCAGCTTAGGTGTCAGCCTCTCAAATCAGTCCCTACCCTCTAAGAGCCCCAGAGAAAACAGCCTGGCCAGAAGTGAGGCAGAGAAATTACAACGCTACTCCCAGTGACTGTCCCAGGAGCCAACTCCTAACTCAGCAATAAACAGAAGGGACCCAGCTTCTAAGGAAGCATCTGGAAGGCAACTGGGGGTGGGACTCTCCCTATGGGGAGGCAAGGGGTCATGTTTGAGGGAAGGTGGCCACCCTTCCCCATATCCAGGCAACCAGAGAATCCCAGTGTTAATTGGTGGAGAACACACCCCTGCAAGTGCTTAGCTTCAGTGGGTGGCAGCAGCCATCACATCCCTGACTTTTAAGGCAACCTGGTCTAGCTAGAAGACCCAGGTTCTACACTCATCTGCTCAGTGCGATGCTGAGGCAGGGAGCTTTCCCTCCCTCCTTGGGCCTCAGCCTCCTCTGCTGCACACGGATATGGACCAATTGGAGTTCTCAGAGGTCCCTTCCAACTTTGACCTTCTAGGAAGTCTTCTGGGCACTCCACACCCAGCTCAGGCAAAGGGAAGAGTACTTTTTGCCTGCACTGAAAAACCCTCATATGTGGGCACACACACCACCTCCATCTTTTCACAAAAAGGAAGTTCCCCTTCTACCTTCCAGCCCCAACCCCTCCAAAAACATCTTGCTCTCTGGCCCTGGAAACTAGCTCCACCTTCAGACTTGCCAAAAACTACCAGATTCATCACAAAGAGCTGTGGAGTCTCCTGGATTCCCAACTCTGGCCTCCTACTCCCATCTCTGAGCTACTTGGCAGGAAGAGGAATCCTGTTCCTCGACTCACAGCAGTCGGGGGCCCCAGTACCCTGGCTTCCCTGCCAGCCAATCACAGCAGCCTGCTTGCTGCCCTCCTCCCTGGGAGATGGGGCCCAGAGACTCCTCTCAGGGTCAGCAGAAGACTTGGCCCGCCACAGAGCAAGGTGGAAGAAAGTGCCAGCTCACCCACCCTCTCCTCCCAGCCCCCTAGGAGACAATCTGCATGTCCTAAATAACCTCTTCCAGATCCAGCAGCTCCCCGGGACTGAGGCTCCTTCTGAGGCGGGACAGAACCGGTGACTTTCCTGCCCTGTCTGAGCCCAGCCCAAGTTTCCAGCAAGAGGCCCAGGGAGCCACTTCCCAAACCACAGGAGTGACAGCAGCTCCCCACAGGGTTATGAAAGACCTTGGTCAGAGAGGGCGGGCCGGGGGAGGGGGCACCATTATCACATCGGAAGCAGCTGCAGCTCACCTCCCTGCCTGTCCCTCAGCTTGGGCCTTTGGCTAAGGGGGGTAGAGGGAGCTGTTTCCACCAGGCCCAAAGCAGCTGCTCCATTTCCTCAGAATGAGGACAGGAAAGGATTAGGAAGAAGCTGTCTCTTCCGGGATATAAGAGGAAGCAAAGAAGGTGGGATGAAATACATCAGCCCTTCCTTAAAGCAATCAGAGCCTGGCTTTAATTGGCTCTGGGAGGTTTTTCTATCACAAAGTCCACATGAGGATAAAGACTCAACCAAGGCAAACCCCCTCCCCCACATGAAGCACATTCCACTCCCCTACTCCAGTGGGGGTGTGCAGGCATGCCCTTCTGCTGCCAATAAATAACTCATGGTGGCTGCGTAAACCCAGAGGCAAAGTACTAGTGAGTGTAGACATGCAGTTTGACTTGTTGCTATCTGAAGGAAAGACCAGGAAGGAGTGGCATCCCCTGGAGGTCAGGAGGGGGTTTAATGCCTGACTGCAGCTCGAGCCTGGGCGGGAGTGATACTAACCACCACACCACACTGCCCCATCGTTTGTTCCACCCCAATTCCCTTCCCAAAGGTCCTGATCGCCTTGCGCCCTCTCCAGGGAGCAGAAAGCCTCTGATATCTCAAGCGTTCCTTTTCCTGGAAAGTGGGGAGACAGTATGTGTCGGGGGTGGGGGGAGTTACACACGCACCCGCAACTGGCGGGGAGAGACAGCGTGGTCGGTATAGATGCACAGTTTTTCGATGGTCAGGGGCGTGGTCTCGCGCAGCTTGGAGGCCAGCAGCATGCAGACCGCACCCAGGAGCTGCAACTGCGCCTTTCGGGTGGGGACACAGGACAGGTAGCGATCCAGGTAGTTCATGGCCAGGGGGAAGACTTCCTCCTCACAACGCTGCTCCTCACATACCTGGGGGAGGGCGCACAGTCACTGCTGGGGCCGGAGCGTGGGGAACACAGCAGCGCGGGGGTGGGGGCGCTGAAGTGAGGTGGGATAGGGAGCAAAAACGGGAGAGAGGGTAAGCTACTTACAGAGACAAGGACCAATAAAGGAGGAGGATGGGCCCTCCCCAAGGTGACGCCCCCCACTTCCTCTGCGCGGCCTCCTCCCCTCTCCCCTTGGTGGGGTGGGGGTGGTAAAGTCAAGGAGCCCTTCCTCAAGAAGGATTCCAAACGGAGACTCCCCTCCCCCACAGCCACGGGAAGTGGGACGCAAGGGTCACCCATGGTAGCCAGAGAGCTGGGACCTCACCCCCATCACCGCCACCACTGCACACACCCGAAGGGAAGGGAGGAGGCTCCTGCCACTGCCTCCCGCACTTTTCATTTCCCTGTCGGCCGGAACAGGGCGCGCGCCACCCCCATCGCCTTCCCCGCCAGAACCCCGCGACAGACACAGGAACCGGCTCCCGGGCGGGGGCGGCCGAGCCCAGGGTTTTCCAGGCGCGCTCTCCGGAGAAGGCCGGGAGGGGGAGGGAAGCGGGAGACGCTGTGAGAAGCCGAAGGGGAGACGATGTCCCTGGTCCCGTTTTCTCGGCCCGGAGAGAGGCACAGTTACGGTGCCAAGTGACTGGCACTCACAGTTGGGAGGAGCCGATTAGGGCTTGGGAAAACAAGGGAGGCAGCTGGCTAGGGTGCCCTAGTGAAAGGCCAGGCCCCGGGGGTCTTAGCCTCGGAGCATCCTGCAGATTGCTGTGGGGACCGCGATGTCCCGACAGGGCGGCCCCGGTGTGTCCAGACCCGGGAGCAGTGGGGGAGGGGGACGCGTCCGGGCGGTACCTCCAGCATCCAGTAAGCCAGCATCTTCCGCATGTGCGGCTTTATCTCCCGCTGCACGCACTGGAAGTAGGAGGCGCGGGGCACGTAGCGCTCCTCCAGGCGGAGCAGGCTCTGCAGGACACGCTGGTCCCCGAGTAGCCGCGGGTCCGGCCCGGCCCGGGGCGCGTGCCGGGTGCCTTCGCAACACAGCAGCTCCATACTCGGGCAGCGCACAGGCAGGGCGGGAGTGCGGGCTCGCGAGTTTCAAGGCAGGCGACGGGCCGGAGAGCGCGGAGAGCGGGTCTGGCGCTGGCGCTGGCGCTGGCACTGCGCGGCGGATCCCCAGCCCGCCCGCCGCCCGCGCGCGCCGCTTCCCTGACAGGCGCCCCGCCCCTCGCGACGATGTAGCAACCGTGGAATGCTCGGACGTCGCAACGCTCCGAGGGGCGGGGCTGCGGCGCCCCGGACGGAAAGGGCTGGCTGGGCGCTCTCCCCTCCCTCCCGCGGCCCCATTGGGCCGCTGAGCGCAAGCCGGCCGGCTTCCGGGCACTCCGGGCCCTCTGGACCACCGGGTGCAGAGAACTTTCTAGGAGGTGGGCCTCCTACCCACCCACGAGCCCTCCCATTTTGCTTCTCGGACTCTAGTCACCCAGGAAAGAATTTTTCTCCAAAGGTCATTCATTCACTTATTCATTCGTCAAACCCTACTTCACCGGCTGCTTGCTCTAAGGAATGCGATAAATAATGTCAGAGTCAGTTCTTAGTGAACACTGCTCCAAAGCCTCACAATGTAATGACTCACTACATCTTCACGAAAACTCGGAAACCGAGGCAACTGTCATTCGGTTGGCCCGTGGCAGAGCTAGGATTGGGAATCTGGCCTTCTTGCTCCAGATTCTGTGCTCTACACCACTGCTAGTTAAACAGTGATCCCAGACCTGTCCCGTGCATGGTCATCGCCTGGGAGCTGGTTAGAAATGCAGACTCTCGGGCCCACCCCTAACCTGAATCAGAATCTGCATTTTAACTAGATTTCTGTGCACTTTAAAGTATGAGAGCTTTAGTCTAAATCAGCATATAACAGAACGGAAAGGCCATGGAGTCAAGGCCTCCTCACCTTGTCAAGTTGGTTGCCCAGCTTTGGACAAGCCCCTAAAGTCGGCCTTAGTTTCTGTTTGGAGAAACTGGACGGAAAAACTAGATTCTCACTGAATCAGTTTCTCCCACAGACTCTGAGATCTACCGGTTGCATTTCTTCCACCTCCCAAACTTTTGGTTACTTTGTAGTTTTACCGGAAGCTGGATTCCCTTGACCAAGAAGCAGACAAAAGACCTCCAATAATGCTCCAAATGGGAGGAGGCTATAGAGGATCCCTGCCCTACTGGGGTCCTCCTGACTTAGGAGACACTAAGGAAGTGTCTCTTTCCTTACTAAGGAAGTAACTAGAGAAATGACACTATGTAGAAGATGTAAGTTCTGTGCCAACCATTTTCTGTTAATTATTATTATTATTATTATTATTTGTTTGAGACGAAGCCTCACTCTGTTGCTCAAGCTGGAGTGCAGTGGCGCCATCTGGGCTCACTGCAACCTCCACCTCCCATATTCAAGCGATTCGCGAGTAGCTGGGACTACAGGCACGCACCACCATGCCTGGCTAATTTTTGTATTTTTCGTAGAAACGGGGTTTCACTATGTTGGCCAGGCTAGTCTCGAACTCCTGATCTCGTGATCCGCCGGTCTCGGCCTCCAAAAGTGCTGGGATTACAGGTATGAGCCACTGCGCCTGGCCGAATTATTCTTTCTTCTATAATAAATTGTATTGTAGTTTTAATATCATAAAATACTCTTTTGCATTGTAGAAAACTTCAAAAATGCAGATAAGCCACAAAAAAAGGAAATAATCATTTGCAATTTGCCATCCAGTAATAACCCTTTAATATATCAATGTTTATTTGGTAATCTTTGTTCTATGAGTAAACACACATTTTAAATGGAATCATCACAAACTGTTTTGTAAGCTTTTTTCATTAAAAAAAAATACTGTTAACACTTTTCCATGCCATTAAATATTCTAGGACATAATTTGTAATGGGGACATAGTATACCATAAGCTGAATGTACAAAATGTATTTTGACAAACCTGTATTGGTGGAAATTTAGATTATTTCTAGTTCTTCCCTATTAGATACAATACTGTAAAATATTTTTGGGGTGATATCTTTGTGCACACTCATGATTATTTCTAGAAGTGAATTAATTTCTAGAAGTGGAATTTCCCAATCTAAGGTTATGAAACATTCTAAGGCTTTTGATACACTTCTAATTGCCAAATTTTCCTGCTGAATAGTTAAACCAATCTACTCCACCATCATTACATACCTATTTTTCAAAACAACTCTGCCAACTAGAGAGTGAAAGTGGCTTATTAGTAATAATAAATCTATTTTGGCATATTTTTAGACATTTACATTTCTTATATACATTACCCATTCATGTCCTTAGCTTATTCATTTATAGGGATGTTTGTTTTATTGATTTATAAATGCTCATCAAGTCTCAAAGATATTAACCCTTTTTGTATTTTTGTTTGGTTTTTTAACTTTGTTCATAAAAATTCTTGACATAAATTAATTTTTAAAATCAATATTTTTTAAACTTCTCATTTATAGAAACATGGCACTATGTATAAAAATGTCCCATCAGCCCAGCACTTTGGGAGGCTGAGGCAGGAGGATCACTGGAAGCCAGGAGTTGAAGACCAGCCTGGACAACAAAGCAAGACTCCTATCTCTACAAAAAAAAAAAAATAAGCTGGGTGCAGTGGCACAAGCCTGTAGTCCCAGCTACTAGGGAGACTGAAGCAGGAGGATTGCTTGAGCCCAGGAGTTCAAGGCTGCAGTGAACCATGATGGTACATGACGTGCCTTAACATTTTGTTATCATACATTTTACAAAAACAAAATATTTTAGTTCATTGTTTTGACTAATTTTTGGTTCATGGTGGATTTCTTTCTTTTTTTTTTTAACAAATAGAAGGGTTTTTGTTTGTTTGGTTGGTTGGTTGGTTTTGTTTTTTTTTTTTGACACGGAGTTTTGCTCTTGTTGCCAGGCTGGAGTGCAATGGCACGACCTCGGCTCACTGCAACCTCCGCCTCCCGGTTTCAAGTGATTCTCCTGCCTCAGCCTCCTGAGTAGCTGGGATTATAGGTGCCCACCACCCTGCCCGGCTAATTTTTGTATTTTCAGTAGAGATGGGGTTTCACCATGTTGGCCAGGCTGGTCTCAAACTCCTGACCTCAAGTGGGCCACCCCCCTCAGTCTCCCAAAGTGCTGGGATTACAGGCGTTAGCCACAGCACCCGGCCTTTTAGTTGCTGATTTATTAATTGAGGGAGGGCCACACAGACTGACTAGTCCTGAAAGCTGGGTGTGAACCTGCAGTATGGGGACGGGAGCTCCTGGTGAGCAGGACTTTAGGAGAGATACTTCTGCCTCACCCCTGGATGAAACAGCCATACCTAGAGCTAGATCATCCCCGACTTTCAGGGCCAAGGACTGGCCACTGGGGAGGCAGGTGAGCTCAGTGCAGGACCAGCACAAGTTCACCAGTTACCTCCACCTCAAAGAAATAGAGGCTCCTCTTGCTTTTTTTGTCTTTGTTTTTCTAAAAGGAAAACTAAAGACAAAGCAATGACCGGGGCCAATAGTATGAGGCGTTTCCACCCAGGTGCATCCAATTAGAAAAAGTCAATAAAATGGCAAATTGGAGGACGAGTGGGAATGGAATGTCACAGGCCAAATAAGAAACCCCAAAGAGGAAGGATACATTTTCTTTCTCTTTCCCTTCATCAAAATATCCCTATCTGGGGCAGGCACAGTGGCTCACGCCTGTAATCCCAGCACTTTGGGAGGCCAAGGCGGGATCACCTGAGGTCAGGAGTTCGAGACCAGCCTGGCCAACATGGTGAAACCCCATCTCTACTAAAAATACAAAAAAATTAGCTGGGTGTGGTGTCCCAGTTACTCTGGAGGCTGAGCAGGAGAATCGCTTGAACCCTGGAGCCAGAGGTTGCAGTGAGCCGAGGTCGTGCCATTGCCCTCCAGCCTGGGCAACAAGAGCGAAATTCCGTCTACAAAAAAAAAAAAAAA